TTGCTCTCTGTTTTTATGCAATGGATTGCATTTGCCAGTGTTGTTGGGAATGTTCTTGACGGTTCCTTGATTAGAGGAACAAAACAAAAGCTGTGGTTTTGTTAGGCACCCTTCCAACACTGATGATGTTACCGAATTGGGTGATGAAATGTCTACAAGAAGCTCAGAGAGACCAAAGACCCCCCCACCCCAACGATTTATGCATGTTTGCACCAGGTTGGAGGGCAATGGATGGATCGTAGCAGCCTCCTAGCTTATTAATTTCAACCCCATTCCCCTGTTTTCATTCCTCCTTGTGCCTCATTCTCTCCGATACCTTCGTGCCTGACAAAGCAGGCCTCGGCTTGGGAAAAAAAAAACAGCCGCCGTCCACGTTACTTAAGAATTATTTTGACCTATGTCACAATTACGCTTCCATTCAAGACTCCAGACTAAAGTTAAAGCCGCCAGGAACTTTTCATACCAGAGTTTTAAGCACCTGCTCCAAGGAGCAAATCAGCCAAATCATGCAAGTGGCAAAGCAGGCTTTATGTGTGTGTCGGGTGTGTGTGTGTGTGTTCCCCCTTCTGTGACCCTTTCCCACAAGGAAGTTCAGAAGCCTATAAGTCAGCTGCCTGTGCCTTGAAGCTTTCATTTCAGCTCAATGCAGGAGGAGCATTGAACAGCAGTTCCTTCGCCTTCTTGGTGGCTGACTCAAAAGCCTCTTTGGACAGCTTGGCAGCTTCGAAAAGCCAAGCCCAAACTTATTTTTTATTTTTTGTTAAAAAAAGACCCTCCGAACTGGAGGATCCCACATCTCCCCCAATCGAGTAATCCAAGGATCCTTTTGCTATGGAGAGAGAGATCCCAGTCTTGCGAATTAGGTGAGAAAGGGGGAGAAAAGGGGAAGGAGGGATGTTGCAGAATGCAGCTTGAGAGCGGAGCTGGCCATTGGAGGGGGGGAAGGAGGGAAGGGATGGATGGAAGGAGGGAGGGAGGGATGGAGGGAGGGAGGGGGGGAAACGGGGTGCTGGAAGTTGGAGGGGGACATGTTGGCTTCTGTGATTGGCTTGCAAAAGGTGTGCAGTGAGGTAGATGCGGGTACTCTGACGCTGGCTGACGCTGCATTGCATCAGCGGCTGGGCCCGCCGAGCGGCTCAAAGGGATTGCTGATCTGAACAGGAAGAGAGCGCAGGAACAAGCTTATTTTTGGTTATGCGTTAGGGTGTGTGTGCGTGTGTGTGTGTGTGTGGTGGGAGGGGGGGTGCAACTAAGCCTCCGTGAGGACAAGAGGTGGGAGTCATGTGATCTGGATGTGCTGGGTCACAGCAGCTGAGACAGGCTGCCAAAAAAAACGGTGGTCCTGTGGTGCTTGGGTCTTGATTCGCCTCCCCTACCCACTACCCGTTCCTTGAAGGGCTTTAGAGATGGCTGAAGAGTTTTGGGGATTTTCTGTGCTGAGATTGCCAAAAAAAAAAAAAGGGAGGAGGGTGGGGATGAGAAGAACAGGGCAAAGTTAACCACGGCATGGGTTGTATGTGCATTAGGAGGAGGAGGAGGGGGCTTAGAAGAAAGCAACTGGACAGGCTGCCCCGTGGTTGAGGCCAGAGTGTCCGCTCAGCTGCAAGAAAAGCAAGGGGCTCTGGGGTCTACGGAAGCCCAGTGAATCTCAGAGAGCGACTTAGAAAGCTCAGAAAGGGGGTTCCAGATGGACAGGAGCTGAGAGCGGAGACCCCCCCCCACCTCCCACCTGCCTAAGGATTGCTTCCACTGTGGGGTGACCACAGCTGGCTTTCGCACAAGCAAAAGGCAGCCCTTTTCTTCGTTGTGGCATCGCTGTGCAAATCCTGCCGTTGCGATGGCCTCCTCGTGGCTTAGTGCAGGAGACGGTTATAAGGGTCGGTCTGATGATCCCCTTCCTTGGGATCCGATGAACCATTTCCCCCCCCCCCATGAAAGGGTGTTTTTGTTTTTTAACTCGTATCAGGCTCAGGACAAGGAACTTGGTTGGAATTTACTCAGCTTTTCTCCAGGACAGTCATCCTGCAAAGGCTGCCATTGGTTATGTAACTGTCTGCATGCACTGTTTGCTGTTGTTGTTTTTACTGGATTGCTTTTTTGTTCCTGCTGGAGAAGGAGTGCAGTTCCAAGATTTCAGGATTTTTATTTATTTATTTAGGGCAGAGGGTTATTAGCCAATCCTGGGGGGTTTCTTCATATATTCGAAAATACGAGCAGCCCAATAGCCATTCCTCTAGGACTCCTGTCCTTTCCGTTGAGCAAGCTGAGCTCTCCCACTCCAGCATTTTCATCCCCAAGGACCTCGGCTACAAGGCATGGGGTCCTACACAAATTTGGAAGAACAACCTGCTTCAGACCGAAGGACTGGATAGTACAGGGTCGTCCTCGACTGACGACCACGACTGAGCCCAAACTTTCCGTCGCTAAGTGAGACCTTGGTTAAAGAGAGCTTTCCTCCCCCCGTCCCATTTTACAACCTCTCTTGCCACCGCTGTTAAGTGAATCACCGCAGTTGTGTTAGTGTAACATGGTTGTTGAGTGACACTGGCTTCCCTCCATCGACTTGTCGCTAAACCCCCAACCGTCATAAAATGTGAATCAACGGCCGAGTGTTTGGATTTTGAACCAGCGGCCACAAGAGAGGCCGCCACGGTCGTTAAGTGTGGAAAAAACCGGTCACAAGTCAATCCCTTGTTGCAGCGCTGTTGTAACTCTGAAACCGTCACGGCGTTGTAAATCGAGGATTACCCACTAGTACCGTGTTTCCCCGAAAATAAGACCTTGTCTTATATTTTTTTGAACCCTGAAATAAGCGCTTGGCCTTATTGCCATGCGCTCAAAAGCCTGATTGGGCTTATTATCAGGGGAGGTCTTATTTTTTGGGAAACAGGATATTTATCTATCTATCTCTATCATCTCTATTTATTTATTTATATCTATTTGTCTCTGTCTCTTATCTGTCTCTAGTTATCTATCTATCTATCTATCTATCTATCTATCTATCTATCTATCTATCTACCGTGTTCCCCTGAAAATAAGACCCTGTCTTATATTTTTTTTGAACCCTGAAATAAGCGCTTGGCCTTACTGCCATGCGTTCAAAAGCCCAGTGGTGTTTATTAACAGGGGATGTCTTATTTTGGGGAAAACAGGGTATCTATCTATCTATCTATCTATCTATCTATCTATCTATCTATCTATCTCTATCATCTATATTTATTTATTTATATCTATTTGTCTCTGTCTCTTATCTGTCTCTATCTATCTATCTATCTATCTATCTATCTATCTATCTATCTATCTATCTCTACCGTGTTCCCCTGAAAATAAGACCCTGTCTTATATTTTTTTGAACCCTGAAATAAGCGCTTGGCCTTACTGCCATGCGTTCAAAAGCCCAGTGGTGTTTATTAACAGGGGATGTCTTATTTTGGGGAAACAGGGTATCTATCTATCTATCTATCTATCTATCTATCTATCTATCTATCTATCTCTATCATCTATATTTATTTATTTATATCTATTTGTCTCTGTCTCTTATCTGTCTCTATCTATCTATCTATCTATCTATCTATCTATCTATCTATCTATCTATCTATCTATCTCTATCATCTATATTTATTTATTTATATCTATTTGTCTCTGTCTCTTATCTGTCTATCTATCTATCTATCTATCTATCTATCTATCTATCTATCTATCTATCTCTACCGTGTTCCCCTGAAAATAAGACCCTGTCTTATATTTTTTTGAACCCTGAAATAAGCATTTGGCCTTATTGCCATGCGTTCAAAAGCCCAATTGGGGGATGTCTTATTTTGGGGGGGAAACAGGGCAGCAGCTGAGCACACCTTCCAAATGCTTAAGCATCCCTAACACTTTCCCAATGCTTCCTGGATGGAAACAGAAGGGAAAACTCGCCTCTTTAGTGTCCTTTAAAAAAAAAATCCACTTTCTCACCCCCCCTCTCTTCCCTCCCACTTCATCTCACCCATAGATCATAGGGGCCCAATACCCACATCCTCCAGGTTAAAAAAAATCACCCTTTGAAAGATTCCTCCGGGCGAGCTGCCTGCCTAGGAGCGTTTGATGCTTATCGGAATCTTTCCGCGGAGAGCAGTATCGCTGCCTCTTTTTTTTTTTTTTTAATTTGATTTATATGCCACCCTTCTCCGGAGACTCAGGGCGGCTTACAATGCGTTAAGCAACAGCCTTCATGCTTTTGTATACTTATACAAAGTCAGCTTATTGCCCCCACAAACCGGGTCCTCATTTTACCTACCTTAGAAAGGATGGAAGGCTGAGTCAACCTTGACCCTGGGAAGATTCGAACTTACCGTAATTGCAGACAGCTGGATGTTAATCACAATGCTATCAGTCCGCTGAGCTATCCAGGCTTCCTTTTAACCAGGAAGACCCGGCTTTGCTGGCTCTGCGCCCCCCCACCCCCACCACTCACTCCCCACTCCATCCCTTTGGCTTTGCTGGCTTCTCAGCCAATCATCAGCCCCTTTGGGGTGGGGGGGAATGCAAGGCGGAGCTTTGCCACTGCGCTCCTGGGTGTTCCTCCTCCCACACCCCACATCCCTCCTCCTCCCCCCCTCCCCCCCTCTTTTTTTTTTTTTTTTTTTTTTTTTTGTGAATGAAAATAAGCACTTGGGCGCGTCCCAGCCTAGGACTGCGGCTCGCGCCCTCCCTCCCTCCGCTCAGTTGCTCCGCAACTCGAAGCCAGGGAGGAGGCAGGCAAGGAGACGCCTCGCTGGGTCAGGCAAGGAAAGGCAAGGAAAGGGTTGGTTGGGTGGGGGAAGAAGAAGCCAGGCAGAAGTGGAAGAGCCGAGTCTTCTTCCCGCGTGCAGCAGAAGATGCTGCTGGCCGGCGGAGCTTTGCAAAGGGCTCCTCCAGTTTCTCCGGAGCCGGCGTGGAATCGGATCCCTGAGCAGCAGCAGCAGCGTCTGAGCCGGGGAGTCTGAGCTTCCTTGCAGCGGCCTCGGAAAGGAGAAGGAGAGAAAAGAAGGAGGAGAGAAAAAGAAGGAGGAGAAAAAAGAAGGAGGAGAGAAAAAGAAGAAGGAGAGAAAAAGAAGGAGGAGAAAAAAGGAGAAGGAGAGAAAAGAAGGAGGAGAGAAAAGAAGGAGGAGAGAGAAAGAAGAAGGAGAGAAAAAGAAAGAAGGAGAAGAGGAGGCCGAGCCCAGCGCTCGCCATCGCCATCAGCATCATGTCTCCAGGGAAGAGCTGGGCTCGTCTTCCCACCGTCAGTAATTGCCCTTTCAGACGTGTCGGTGTAAGTAAAAGCCTGCCGGCTGGGTCTCTCCCCGGAGAGTCCGAGTCCGAGTCCGAGCCATTCCGCGGGGCTTCTGCTTAGCCAAGAGTACTTGAACCGAAGGCTGATTGACAGGGCGTGCGGGAGGGGGGCAGAGAGAGAGAGAGAGAGAGAGAGAGAGAGAGAGAGAGAGAGAGCAGCAAAAGGACAAGATGGGGAGGGGGGACAAGGGAGAGGGGGGGGTGCTGGGAAGGCTCCCTTTGGAGCCCAGCCCTGTCACCCTGCGCGCATCCTCGCGCGCGCGCCCTCCCTCCTCTTGCGCGACTCGGTGCCAGCTTGGTATTTTTTTTTTTCCCCTGCCCTCCGGCGCCCCGCACTGCTGGAGTGGAACGGTCCTCTGGAGTGGGGGGTGAGGGGAAGGGAAGGGAAGGGAAGGGAAGGGGAGACGCTGCCCCTTTGAGCCCTCCCGTGGGCTGCCACGCACCCGCCGACAGCAGGCGTTGCACACTTGGCATGGGTGCCCGTACCCACAAGGGGAAAAAAGAGAGCGGCGTCCTGGGGATGGGGTGGCGGGGTGGGGTAGGAAAGGAGACACGCGGGGCGGTGAAAGTTGTTTACAAAACCGAGCGAGAGTCGTCGCCCCCCCACGAGGACAATCGTTGCAAGAAAGAAAGAAAGAAAGAAAGAAGGAAGGAAGGAAGGAAGGAAGGAAGGAAAGAAAGAAAGAAAGAAAGAAAGAAAGAAAGAAAGAAAGAAAGAAAGAAAGAAAGAAAAGAAAGAAAGAAAAGAAAGAAAGAAAGAAAGAAAGAGAAAGAGAGGGGGGGAGAGAGGGGGGAGGGAGGGAGGAAGGAAGGAAGGAAGGAAGGAAGGGAGAAAGAGAGAGAAGGAAGGAAGGAAGAGAGACAGAGATAAGGAAGGAACAAGGAGACAGGGGGAGAGGGAAGGAAGAAAGAGAGAGAGAAAGGGAAGGAAGGAAAAAGAGAGAGAAAGGGAAGGAAGGAAGAGAGGGGGAAGAGGGAAGGAAGAAAGAGGGAGAGAAAGGGAAGGAAGGAAAAGAGAGAGAGAAAGGGAAGGAAGGAAGAGAGGGGGAAGAGGGAAGGAAGGAAGAAAGAGGGAGAGAAAGGGAAGGAAGGAAGAGAGGGGGAAGAGGGAAGGAAGGAAGAAAGAGGGAGAGAAAGGGAAGGAAGGAAGAGAGGGGGAAGAGGGAAGGAAGGAAGAAAGAGAGAGAAAGGGAAGGGACGAAGGAAGAGAGAGAGGGAAGGAAGAAAGAGAGAGAGAAAGGGAAAGAAGGAAGGAAGGAAGAGAGAGAGGGAAGGAAGGAAGGAAGGAAGAAAGAAAGAAAGAAAGAAAGAGCTTGCGCTTCGTCCGGGGTAGAGTTTTTTCCTTTGCCTTCGTGGGGGTGATCTGGTTTGAACCAGGAAACCGTGCAGCCTTCCAGCTTGCAAGTTCGAGGTGCTTGGCGTGGTAGAAGAAACGTTGCAGGACACTTCGAGAGCCGTGTGTGTGTGTGTGTGTGTGTGTGTGTGAGTGTGAGTGTGTGCGTGGACGTGCATAACAAGACGCACACGTTTCTGTTTGTTTTGCAAAACGGGTTGCTTCCCCACCCCCCACCCCACTCCCCAACAGTCTGCGTGGTGGTGTGTTATCATAATAATCAAGCCAAGCTTTGGGCCGGAAATGTTTTCAGATTTCTTTTGGCCCTGCTTCTTCCTTGCACCTGGGTGGGATGCTCAGTACTTCGAGATGTTTGCCCCATCCTTCCTTCCAGGATGCCCTTTAGCAAAAGAATCCAGATCCTGTTTTGGCTTCGACTGTTGTTATTACTAGTTCTTAACAAATCATTATACGGGGGGCGGGGGGAGAGATATGCGTTTCTTTCTTTTTTAAAAAAAATAATAATAATCATAACAATCATCAGACATTCCTGTAAAATGATGGGAGGGATTTTTGAGCTCTTCCCGTTGCTAGGAAACGAGTTAGGCTCCCCTGGTGATTCTCTGGTCTCCTTGGCAACAGAAGACAGGGGCGGCTTGCGAGGATTTTTTCTCTTTAAGAGATAGGGAGGCAGATTGGAAGGCTGGAATTCTAGTAAGCAGACGTCACCGAGGAGAAGCAGGGAGGAGTGACGAGCAGCGACAGATGCTGGAATTACAGAGAAGGGGGCAAACGAGAGCAAACCTGAGTCTGAAAGGGAGAAGGGTTAAGGCTAAGCCAAGCCTGGAAAGTGGGGGGGTGATGGGTTGAGAGACACTGGAGCATCTGAGTGTCATCATTGCAGATCCTGGAGAACAAAGCAGATTGTGAATTAGGCTGCCCTGGGACAAAAGAGCTACTAAAAATAGACACTCAGTAGGGTTGAAAAGGAAGAGAGCAGAAGGATGGCTTTGGTTATCTCTCCTCCCTGCAATCCCAAGAGGTTTTTGCATATGCAAAAAAACCTGCGTGAGCTGCATTGGCTTCCAGTGGTCTTCCAGGTGCGCTTCAAGGTGTTGGTCACCACCTTTAAAGCGCTCCATGGCATCGGACCTGGGTATTTGCGGGAGCACCTTCTGCCGCCGATAGCCTCCTACTGACCAGTACACTCCCACAGAGAGGGACTCCTCAGGGTGCCAGGCAATGTCGGCTGGCGACCCCCAGGAGGAGGGCCTTCTCTGTGGCAGCACCTGCCCTCTGGAACGATTTGCCCCCGGAGATACGAAGGATATCGGATATCGCCGTGCCCTAAAAACTTTTCTTTCCCATCAAGCAGGGCTGGCGTGAAACCCCCCCCTTTTTTTTTTTTTTAAAAGCTTTTTAAATTGTCAATGGGTTTTAGTTTGAATGTTTTCAATTTTGGGCCAAAGTCATGAAATTCTTTTAAAAAATTTTTAATTTTGTATTGGTATGTGTTTTAGTTCTGGCTGTGCACCGCCCTGAGTCCGCTAGGAGAAGGGCGGGATACAAATTGAATTAAATAAATAAATAAATAAATAAATAAATAAATAAATAAATAAATAAATAAATAAATAAATAAATAAATATTATACAGTATGTGCGAAGAAAGAATATAGGATGAATAGTTGCAGGGAGGGAGAGTTTGGTCCAGAGGGGGTAGCTTTGGTCTGGGCGTTGAATTGATTGTCCCTTGTTTATATAGCATGTGGCTCTGAGCGAGCCAGTCTCCTGAGCCAGCTGCTGGAATTCCACCTGGAACTTTGCTTCCTTGTATTTTCTTCCCAACAACCTTAAATAGAACAACAGAGTTGGAAGGGGTCTTGGAAGTCTTCTAATCCAAACCCCCCCCCCTGTCCAAGCGGGAGACCCTATACCAGGGATGGCTAAACCTTTTTGCCGTCGCGTGCCAAAAGCGGGCGGAGTGGAGGGGATTGCGTGCACGTGTGCCCACATCCATAATTCAAGGAGCCTTGATAGTACAGTGGTCTAAAGCACCCTGTTATTAAGACCAGCTGCCTGCAATTACTGCAGGTTCGAATCTCGCCAAGGCTCAAGGTTGACTCAGCCTTCCATCCTTTCTGAGGTAGGTAAAATGAGGACCCAGTTTGTGGGGGCAATAGCTGACTTTGTATAAATATACAAAAGAATGAAGGCTATTGCTTAGCGCATTGTAAGCCGCCCTGAGTCTCCGGAGAAGGGCGGCATATAAATCAAATTAAAGAAAAAAATACACGCCCCATCCCCACGCATGCACGCGTGACCCCGCCCCCGCTTTTGGCACGTGATGGCACGGTGGGCCCAATACGCCCGTTTTTTTGCCCTCCCCAGGCTCCAGGGTCTTTCTAGGAGCCTGGGGAGGGTGAAAACGGCCTTCCCCACCCCATCCCCCCACCCCGCCCTGAGGCCCTCCGGAGGCTCGGAAACAGCCCGTTTCCTGACTTCCGGTGGGCCCAGAAGGCCTGAAAATCAGCTGGCCAGTGCGTACATGCGTGCTGGATTGAGGTAGGGCAACGCTCGTGTGCCCACAGATATGGCTGCGTGTGCCACCTGTGGAATCCGTGCCATAGGTTCGCCATCACGGCCCTATACCGTTTCAGTCAAATGGCGGTCCAGTTTCTACTTAAAACGCCTCCGGAGATTGGAGCAGCCACAACTTCTGAAGGCGAGACGGTTCCACCGGTTACTGTAATTCTTCTCGCTGTTAGGAAATTTCTCCTTAGTCCTAAATTGCTTCTCCCCTTGATCAGTTTCCATCCATTGCTTCTTGTCCCGCCTTCTGCTGCTTTGGAAAATAGCTCTGAGCCTCTCTTGTTTCCATCCCCTGGGCCCCTGCCTCTTGTATCTTTGGAGTGAGTTCTTCTTAACTCTTGCAACCCCGTGTAAGGATTTCCAAACAGGAATTACAAACTGGGTCCTGTTACTTTGGCCAAATGGCTTGGAGCTTTCCTTTAGCCTCAGTGTTAAAAAGGAAACAGTGGAGCAAAGTCTACCAAGGGATTCGGATAGATGCAAACATCCACCGTGCCACTATAAAATCATGATAACCTACTATAACCTACTATACCAAGATTCCAGACTGTATTCATCCCCTAGATATGAATTACTTGTGGGTTCTTTTCCTCCCTCCTCTTTTCTGCCTTTGAATCTGTCTGGATTCCTGGCAGGGTGGATTTGATTTAAATCACGATTTAAATCATGATTTAAATCATTAGTAAAAAGGCTTGATTTAAATGAACTCGATTCAAATCATAATTTTTAAAGAGCAACTGTCATCTCTGCTACTCCTTTGACCCAGTGTTGACTCACCGATAGTCCCAGTGTTGCAGAATATACAGCCTCCTGCTACATAACTAAGCTCCATTTCATGCTGAATAAACTAAATTATTTATGTATCTTAAATAGGAAACTACCTTTCGATAGATTTTTACCCCAAAAGTTTTTTATTAAAATAAATTCGATAAAAATAAAAAAAATCTGATTTAAATTAAAAAAATCTGATTTTTTTTAAAAAAATCATTGATTTTTATCCACCCTGATGCCCACCTGGACAAGTCCCTGCAGTTTCCTTGGCAAGGTTTAAGTAAGGG